AAAGAGCATAAAGTAACAGAGAGGGCTGGGAGTACAGCTCAGGGGTGAAGTGTTGTGTGAATGTGCAGAGTGATAGGGGTTCGATTCCTAGATAAGCATCAGGAAAAAAAAGCAATCACACTACGAATACTGGAGAGTTAAGGAGAGTGTAATTTTAGGGTGAGGCCTTTCTAAGCATAATGCCAAAGCATAAATAATAAAAATACTAATTTAAATCACAATTTCAAGATATCCAAATAAGTTATATTATAGGACATTTTAAAAGCTTATAAAATGTTATTAACTGTATGAAAGAAGGCAAAATTTAAATCAAATTTAAAGGGAACATATTTCAATAGAAATATTAGCAAGTGAATCTAGAAAGTCATTTGTTATTAAGGAAAGGCTTGTGTTTGTCTGGTTTGTTAGAAATCTGAGTGCTGGGGCTGGGGATTTAGCTCAGCAGCATAAGCACCTGCCTTGCAAGCAGGGGGTCGTGAGTTCCATCCTCGGTACCGATTAAAAAAAAAATCTGAGTGCCTTAGAAGAACATAAAAATGAGTGTGCCTAACAGGAAATTTTTCCTTCTCTGGCCTGGAAATATGACACAAGTGATTGTAATTAGTGCAGGAGGATGTGAGAGGGAGGGAGGATGCTGTGGGTCCTAAAACTTCATTTTCCTGGATTCAGAAATGGAAGTGAAAAGACAGGAAAATGTACGCTTAATGCTGATTCTTCGTAAAAGCAAAAGTCTGGGAATGTTCATTTCTGAAAGTAACAGATTGATCAGCTTTAGCTACAGCTTGGAATATTGTAAAACAGTATTTAACCACTGTTTTTTGAGACAGACTCTGGCTGTGTAGCTCAGGCTGGCCTCTAACTCGTGGCAATCCTCCTGCTTCAGCCTCCCCAGTGCCAGAATTACAATGGGCACCACCCTGCATGGCCTTGAATTCTATTTTATGGGAACAGATATTGGTGTGGGATAAAAGAGGTCACATGGTGCCGTGGGCTCCAGGCTCTCTGAAACAAGATGTATGGTACGACACCATCCAGCTAAATGTTTTAAAACGTGTACAGTTTAGGCTTCGTGCCCAAATGTTGAGATGATGTGGAGTTCGGTGTGCTGTTCTGTTTTCAGTCTGTGTGCCCTGAATGGGCAGATCTGTGGAACTTAAATAAGATACTAACTGAACACACATCTTACGGTGTCTTTCAAAATGCCCAGTGATTAAGTAAAAGGAAAAGGAACCAGAGATGGGGGTGCACAGCGGGCACAAAGCGGCTCGAAGTGGGCTGAAGAGTGCAGCTTTCCGGGGCCAGAGAGCCTGTCATCCCGCATCTCTTTGAGAGGACACCTCACTGTTCACCTACTGCTCCTCTGGGAAAGGACCAGGAGCAGAGCTGGAGGTGGCATGGATGTGTCCCAGCAGGTGGGGGAGGTGCGTGCTCTGCCCTCCCTGCCCCTTCTTTCTCCCCCCACTTTTCCCTCCCTCCCTCCTTTCCCCTTCTCTCTCCCTCCTCTCTCCCTTCCCTTCTTGTTTTCTCACAGAGTGCGATCCACCCTCCTAGCACACAGTCCAGGGTAGAACACAGCGCTGGGGACTGTGAGCTCATGGGGTGGGGCAGATGCCTGAGGGATTCCGTGACCTAACAGAGACATTGATCCTTTGGCAGAGGCCTCCTGACCTCCCTTCCCTGGCTCTGGCAGTTATCAGCCTCTCTGCTGAGTCTGTCTGAGATTTCTCCTGTGAGTGCTACCAGCAGCATTTGTCTTTCTGTGTCTACTGGCAGCTAACCCAGGGTTATTCCTGTCCTTCTGCATGGTGAGGGGAAGCTCCTCTCTCAGTCTGGAGGCTGAGCCCTGTCCCCTTCCTACGCAGGCACACATCCTGTGAGTGCAGGCAGCTGTCAGTTCCCATGCCGTTCATCAAATCTCTCCTTCCCCTGAGTGAGCATCTATAAATCTTGGCACATCCTGTGTCCAGGTGATTAATCACTGATGTCTGGGATGCCAGAGCAGAAAGAATCGGAATCAGAATTTTATGTACTGCATCTGTACAGCTATACCTATATATCAGAGTGTAGACATAACAGGATTTTATCTGTAAACATATATTTATTTATATATGTGTGTATTTTATATTTTAAGGGAACCTTATATAATATATACATATATATTTTATATATAACCTTAAATAATTTATACATACATCATTCTGTATTATATTGTTTTATATTTATGCAAACATAAGTCACACAGCTATTGAGAATAATTTTGCAGTGATCATACTGTGTATAGATGTATAAATACCTGTTTATACACATGCTTCTGTTTACATGCATGGGAAACATTTTCCCCGTCCCTGCATCATCAGAGGCACTTAGCTGACTCCTTACCCTGGCTCTGTGGTGGTCCACTTTCTTGCTGCTGGGACACAGTGCCCAGCCCTCAAAGATTTAATGTGGCTCACAGAGTCAAAGGGCCCAGTCTGTGCTCAGCTGGCTCCAGAGTAGAACCATCACAATGGAAGGTTGTGGTGGAGATGCTCATTGCCTGGTGCTGGGAAGCACAGTAGGGGAACAGCCCGAGAGGGAGGGACAAAGGGTCACACCTTTCCAAAGCCACACCCCCAAGGTCCCCAAGGCTACACCTCCAGGACCCACTCAGACACACCCAGAAGTGTGCTTTGCTGATCCCCACCTGACTTCAGCAATCTAATGGACAGCAGCTGTCTGTCACAGCTATTGAGAATAATTCCTTGGTGACTATAGGAGCACAGATGTGTCTCCCGCGTACTGACCTCAGTTCCTTTGGACACACACCCACCAGGGGAGCTGCCTGGTCATTCTTTTTGTGTTCATTTTTGAGGAATCTCCATTCTATTTCCTATTACAGTAGCATCATTTTATTTTTTTTTCCAATAGTATACAAATTCTTCCTTTTATCCACATCCTTGCCAGTACTTTTTACTCTCTTTTTTTGATATTGACCATCTGGATAAGTGTGAGGTGACATCTCACTGTGGTTTTGACTTGCCTTTGCCTTGTCGTTAGTGCTGTTTAGTGCTGACACCATCTGTGTGTCTTTCTGGGAGAAATGTCTACTTGGGCCCTATGTCCTTTCAAAACTTGGGTTATTTGTCTTCTGATTATTGAGTTTCTCATCTATTTTGGAAACTATTCCTTTATCAGATACATGGGTTACAAATATTTTCTCCCACTTTGTGGGCTGCCTTTTTGTTTTATTTTTTCCCTTTACTTTGCATAAAATTTTTAGTTTCATCCAAAGTAGGAAGTTTCTTTAAAAAGACAAATGATTGTCCTGTCAGCAAGACAGTTTGTAGGGAGAGCCAGCACCATGGGGGAGCCTGCAGCTGCCTCCTCTGAGGGCTGTGGCATCTACTCCCTTCTCCCAGGGTGAAGCAGCAGAGCATGGGCTCCTGGCACTCTCTGCCTCTCTCCCTCTCCCCTCCTGCTCTTGGTCCATGTCTTTTCTCCTCTCAGGTTTCTTTCTGGTTTTGTTTGCCATTTCCAATGATGAGTTTGAAACTCACTTTTGAAGATGGGCTTGGCCCCTCTTATTTGGAAACTTGGATATCCTTAAGGATAAAACCTTCATTGATTTTCTGATTGTTGCTGTGTCTGGAATCTCTGCACACCAGCTGTGGATCAGTTGGACACAGGGAAATGTTCAGCTCTAAGGAAGGCACAGTTGATTGGTGGGGTGTGGAAGGGAGAGCTGGATGTGGTCATCATAGGCTTTCTAGAAGATTCTGAGTGTGAGGTCTATGTGGCACTGGAAGAGGTGTATTCAGGCTTGGAGGAAGGGAGTAATGTTTCCACCAGAAGGGTTTTTTTTTGCAATAGCAGGAAGCATTCAAGAGACCAACTCATGACAAAGAACTTAAAGAGAGGTCTAAGAGAGAGATCGTGCACCCACGTTCACAGCAGCTAAGAGGCAGGTCCCCACTGGGAGGATGGAGCTGAGCTGCTCCTCACTGTGCATCAGGGGAACCTCAGCCACTCTGAGGACAAACCTGGCCATCAGAGCACACACCCCACCGCTTCCTACAGGGCAGTGACACCTGCACCCTTACCCCATGCCCACATCACCCCAAAATCAGATGCCTAGCGGCAGCCCTGCTAGCACTCTGCAGCCTATACCAACTCATCAATTCTGAACTCACTTCCCTTCCCTCTGTTGCTTCCTTGGAAACCACAGTACAGACTCAGAGGCTGTTCCCCACCATCCCCTCCATCCCTCATTACCCAGAGCCCCTCCATGTAGCACTGTGTGGCCTGCTGTCCTCCCTCCTCTGGGACCTGTGAGTGAAAAACTGGCTTTTCAGTGGCTGCATCTTCTGGTCTGTCAATCACTCCATCCAAGAATAAAAATAAAACATGTTTAGAAAACAGCCATTCTGAAAGTGCCCACTGAAAGTGACCCTTCCCACATTTCTAAAGCACCTGAGAGCATCTCACTGTGTTGGGAATCACTGTTTGAAAGTGTCCTGTGGGTAGAAGGATGTCCCTATATGGAAGCTGGGGAATACTCCCTGCTCCGCATGGATACACATCAAGCTCCATGGAGATCCAATGCTTTCCTCTGTTTTTCCATCTTTCTTTGTTAAGTCACAGCACAGCACAGTGTGACCCCAACACCATGAGCCCATGTGAATGGGGTACAGGATTATTCCCTGGCCATTCAGAGCTGACCCACAAGCATCTGGTCTGCCTCAAGAGTTTTCATTCCATAAACTCTCCTTTATGTCTTTCTAACTAGATTGGATTCTGCTTGATCTGTCTAATTTCATTGACTTCCTCTTTTATCACTATCAGTTTTCTTGGAGGTGGTACTAATTAGCAGCCTCCATAAGCCAGCAGGCCGTTTCTTGGAGGAGAACAGCTCAGTGGAAACTGAGGGCCTCTGCACGTATTAATTGTTAGGTCTGGGAGAAGGGGGAAGAGAGAAGAAGAAGTCCGCGGGAGGAATGGAGCGGAGTGGACGGCCGTAAAAGTAGTGGTCAGCGGTGGCTTTATTCTGGGAATGCGGGGAGGGGGCCCCCGCCGCCGGCCCCGGGCGCAGCATTGCGCCTGGGGCGGGTGGTCTCTCTCTCTCTCTGGCGAACTCTCTCCGGCGAACTCCCTCTGGCAAAACTCTCTCGGACACGTGGCGTGGGGGATCTAAATAGCTTAAGCTTAGGGCAGTGCCCCAAAGGCCATTAGGGATGCACAGATATCCCATTGGCGCACAGGTCCTTAAGGATGGGGATACAGAATCACAATCAAGTCCATAGGGGGCAGGGTGGGGGAGGAGTTTAGCTGCAGCCTTTTCTGGCTACAGTGTTTCATCTGGGCCGGCAACTCTTTCATATCCCGTCTTCTGGTTATTAGGAAAAGGGGCGAAGATCTCTCTCTGTAACTACTTCCTGCTGGCTGAGGGCACTGTATTGGGGTCTAGGGGAGTTTGACGGGATGAAGGTTGATGCCCAGGTAGACACTGATGCCAGGTGTTTTAGCCAGGACAACTTCACTGGTGAATGTATGTATGTCAGACTGAAAAAACAAAGAGACATAATGTTATTAGGAGACATGGCACTATTATATTTAAGGACCCAGGTGAGGTAGATAGGAAGGTGACTTTGGTTTTGAGATGGTATTTTATCAGGGTGACGTTGAGGTGGCAAGGCAGAATTCTGAAAAATAAACGTGGGATTAGGAGGAGTGAAGTTATGAGAGGTGTTTACTCCCCCCTATGAAAGCATAAAAGTTAAAAGGTAGGTAGGTAAGGCTTGTCTCTGGTATATATGATGTTGGAGTCTGTAGGCAACCGTGTTAAGGACTCCTGCTATAGAAATGATTATTAATAGAATGTAACAAATTAAGAATCAAACTGGACAACAAAACATGACAACCTGTGAGTCATAAGGCAGAGATGAGCATCAAAAGGATGGTTAGATCTAGGGCCTGAGTGATGTGAGACCAGAATGGCAGTTTAAAAGGGAATAAAAGCATTTTATGATTTAGGACTGGGACCTATAAATGGCATAGGTTGACCATCAATACCATGTCATAGAGATTGATTTAATATAGCAACCTGAATACTCAGGAAGAATCCTGTATATATGGCCTCTATGTCCACAAATATAGAGAATATCTTACCTGAGACTGTAGTGTGACTTGGAATCTGAGACGGACACCTTAAAGGGGGCTGTTGTTGTGTTGAACCCCCTCAGCCTCCAGCAGCGATTTTTTGTCAGTGACGAATCTGGCAGTGTCGACATTTTTTATGAGGGCTAGAACTTAGGATGGCTTACCCACTCTCTGGTGGCTAGGACAGTCCAGTAGCCCTGGAGTAAGGTCTCAAAGAATGCCAGGATGGGACATTTTTGTCCAGTATCTTCTGCTGCATTTGAGCGTGGTCCATGGAGGGGGCAGGCAGCTCCACCTTGTGTAGGTTTACCTGTCTCAGAACTCCAAGTGTCACAAGTGTTAAAAATATAAAAAACCATATTAAGATCTCTCTAAGGTTTGAAGGTCAAGTTTTGCCTTTTTGTTTGGGATTTGGACTATAGTAGAATTAAGTAAGTATAGGTTTAGCAATCTTATGAATAAATCAAAACTGATATAATACTGTCAGATTTTGAACACAGTTACTTTTAAAGTTGTTATTTGCAGTACTATGAATCAAGACAAATAAAATAAAACTTTGAAGAAAACCCTTGTCTTGAAATAGAGCTAGTGGTTCCCAGCAAAAAGGAATTTATAAGCTTAGTTGTTAAACAGGAGATTGGTGAAGGCTTTGATAAATAAGGTTGGTAAAATAAAATAAAACTTTGAAGAAAACCCTTGTCTTGAAATAGAGCTAGTGGTTTCCAGCAAAAAGGAATTTATAACCTTAGTTGTTAAACAGGAGGTGGTGAAGGCTTTGATTGATAAACAAGGCTGATAAAATTATCCGGTGGCCAGTAACTTTGATTAAACGGTTTGAGAATTGTAATAAAAAGGCATCTCTTGAGCGGAGCCAAATTGTAAAAAAAGCATGCCTGAGCAGAGCCGCTGAGCTGCCGTGTGTGCGGTGCCGTGGAGAGGTAGGCAAGGAACCGTAGAGTGGGCGGGGCGAACGCGGGACACCGTAAGCAGACAACGGAGGCTTACCGTGACGCGCTAAGCGGCGCAGGGAAATGACGTCGTTCTGCTGCGATCGCGTAAGGGGGTGGGGCTTGGAGGCCCCGAGTGGTGATCCCAGTTAACGCCTGGCGTCAATGGGAGCTGCAGCTCGCGTTCGGTCCCCCGGAGGGACGGGGAGACGGCCGAGGCGGGCGACAGAGGGAGTGGCCGCGTCCCGGAGGGGCGGGGCGGCGGCAGAGGCAGTCAGAGGCACGGCTTGCTGGCTGCTCGGAGCCCCGCGCGCGTGGGGCGGGGCGACAGAGGGGGTGGCCGCATCCCGGAGGGGCGGCGCGGCGGCCAAGGCGGTGGCTGTGCCCCGGAGGGGCGGGGCGACGGCCGAGGTGGGCAGCAGAGATGGTGGCCGCATCCCGGAGGGGCGGCGCAGCGGCAGAGGCAGTCAGAGGCATGGCTTGCTTGTTGTAAGGAGCCCCGTGTGTGGGGCAGGGTGTGGCCGCGGGAGAGGCACAGCGTGAAGTTAGGTGGGCTTTGTTTTGAAAGGCTCACGGCCGTGCCAGAGCTGGGCGCGCTGTGAAAGCCACGGCTTTTGGGCGGCTATGGCGGGCGGCGTATGGCGCAGGGACGAAAAGAAAGAAAAAAGGCTGTTTTTAAAATTAAAAGCAGTTTGATGTGAATTTTAGGTTTGTCTGGTCTTATTTAACCTCGGGAGAACGGCGTAAAGTGGGAAACAAAAGGGAGAGGAGCCAGGCGCGGGCGGAGCCAATGAACGGGAAGGGCTGGGGCTCGAGCCGCTGCGCCGGCGAAATAAACAGAGCTAAAACGTGGTGGGAGGGGGGCGAGAGAGGCGCCTGGCGCAGAGGAGCCAGGCGCGGGCCCCCCCTGGGGTGACCAGGCCCTGCGGGCCACGCGGGAGACCATCTCATGACCGCGGGACCAGCGGCGCCGAGGCGGCGCGCGGAGGCGGCGCGTGGCAGGGAGGGAGAGGAGCCGCGCTGGGAAAGAAAGCTGCTTTAAAAGTTTTGTAAAGGGCCCTCGCGCCCAGAGCCGCTGCGCCGGCAAAAGAAAGGGAGCTATAACGTGGGGGGGGGGAAGAGGCGCCGGGTGTGGGGCCCCCCCCCCGGGGTGACTAGGCCTCGCGGGCCACGCGGGAGACCGTCTTATGACCGCGGGACCAGCGGCGCCGAGGCGGCGCGCGGAGGCAGCGCGCAGCGGGGAGGGATCCGCGCCGGGAAAGAAAGCCGCTTGAAAAGTCCTGTAAAAGGCCCCCCCGCCCAGAGCCGCCCCGCCGGGGAAAGAAAGGGAGCCACAACGTGGTTAGGGCGCGGCCCACCCCCCCTGGGGTGACCAGGCCTCACGGGCCACGCGGAAGGCCGTCATGACTGTGGGACCGGCGGCGCCGAGGCTGTGAGCGGGAGCCGGAAGAAGGGCGCGCGAGTCGGGGACACAGGAACAAAAGAGCGCACGCTGGGAAAGAAACAGCCTGTTTTAAAAGTTATCAGGGGAGTTAATTACCCGAGTGGTAGTGGATTTTTGACTGCAGAAGTAAAGAAATTTTAACAGCAGGGGGACTATAAAACAAAACCGAGAAAAGTATAGTCTCTCACCTGCCGCCGAGTCACAGGGCACCATCTGTTAGGTCTGGGAGAAGGGGGAGGAGAGAAGAAGAAGTCCGCGGGAGGAATGGAGCGGAGTGGACGGCCGTAAAAGTAGTGGTCAGCGGTGGCTTTATTCTGGGAATGCGGGGAGGGGGCCCCCGCCGCCGGCCCCGGGCGCAGCATTAACTTCACTCCTCCTAATCCCACGTTTATTTTTCAGAATTCTGCCTTGCCACCTCAACGTCACCCTGATAAAATACCATCTCAAAACCAAAGTCACCTTCCTATCTACCTCACCTGGGTCCTTAAATATAATAGTGCCATGTCTCCTAATAACATTATGTCTCTTTGTTTTTTCAGTCTGACATACATACATTCACCAGTGAAGTTGTCCTGGCTAAAACACCTGGCATCAGTGTCTACCTGGGCATCAACCTTCATCCCGTCAAACTCCCCTAGACCCCAATACAGTGCCCTCAGCCAGCAGGAAGTAGTTACAGAGAGAGATCTTCGCCCCTTTTCCTAATAACCAGAAGACGGGATATGAAAGAGTTGCCGGCCCAGATGAAACACTGTAGCCAGAAAAGGCTGCAGCTAAACTCCTCCCCCACCCTGCCCCCTATGGACTTGATTGTGATTCTGTATCCCCATCCTTAAGGACCTGTGCGCCAATGGGATATCTGTGCATCCCTAATGGCCTTTGGGGCACTGCCCTAAGCTTAAGCTATTTAGATCCCCCACGCCATGTGTCCGAGAGAGTTTTGCCAGAGGGAGTTCGCCGGAGAGAGTTCGCCAGAGAGAGAGAGACCACCCGCCCCGGGCGCAATGCTGCGCCCGGGGCCGGCGGCGGGGGCCCCCTCCCCGCATTCCCAGAATAAAGCCACCGCTGACCACTACTTTTACGGCCGTCCACTCCGCTCCATTCCTCCCGCGGACTTCTTCTTCTCTCCTCCCCCTTCTCACAGACCTAACATTAATGTGCCCAGTTACTTCTGGCAACATGAGCGGGGTGCTTGGGCTTTGAGAGTGCACAAAAAACAAGTTCAGATTTGTGAGCAAAATAAGACAGCAGAGGAGAGCAGAGAAACCTCCACACACACAAATTTGGCAGGAATTTGCTTAATTAGATTAACAGGTTAATCTAATTGGCCCTGCCCTTTAGAAGATAATGGACAGGTTAGTCCAAGATGTCTTATTTAGCAAACAAATCTTTAATTTTTAATTTATCTCTATTTTCTTTCTTTCCTAACTTTGAAAAGCCTCTACTTTGCCTTCCCTCCTGTATCTGAAGCCATGGCCCTAGGTCAGACCTCCCTGTACCCACCGGGGGGCCACTCTGTACTCTTGGAACTCTGTTATGTTGATACATTGGGTCACATGGAGAAGTTTAGGAGTTTAACTAAGACTCAGCAGGGAGCCAGAGCTCTTACTTTGTAAACATCCTGAGCCTGTGCAAGAGGCGTGCACAGAGGTGGTGTGAATGCTGTACCCACCCTGGTAGAGGTGGAGCCTGCTTGCAATATAAGGAGGAAAAGAGGCTTGCTCTCCCCCTTTTGCCCTTGCTGCTTTGCTGCCTTCTGCCTTGAAGTGGTGCCCCTGTGCCATGCCACGCTGCCTTGGCGCCAGCTGATTAAGGACTGAAACCCCCACAAACAGTGAGCTAAATAAACCTTTCCTTCCTTCATTTTGGATGTCTGGTATTTTGTCTCAGCAAGGTGAGAAAAGTAACCAACACAAACTCATTTTGGTTTACTAGGGAGCTTCCTCCCTGCGCTGGGCCTCCACAGTCTGCTGCGGTGCAGAGTTCACGTTCTTAGAGACAGGCCAGCAGGATGCTGCCTCTCTTCTGCCCTTCCTCCCTTTCCATTAGGAAAGTAGAAGCCACAGTGAGACCTGCACAACAAGGGGTACAGACCTGTGTCAATTAATGCAGTCAGAACCCTGGACAGTGCCCGCCAGTGCCTGTGCACTGTCAAAGGATGGGAAGGGATATCTGGATCAAAGCAATGGGGGCGTGGTTTACTAGGGTCCTCAAGGATCTCTGCCTGTGGTTATCACAAGCTGGGTGGTTGAAACACAGGTGAGACTCTCTGTCCTGGGAGGCTGGGGTCCTGGGTGTCCACAGAGTGAGTTTCCTTCTGTGGTTCATGGCTGTCTTCCCCCTCATGTCCTCACGTGGCCAGCCCCCTGTGTAATAGCACTCTGATGTCTTCTGGTCAGGACACGGGCATATTTGTGTTCAGACCTGCTCTGAGCTCCTGGTGTCTTAACCTCCTCTATCAGGACCTTCTTTCCAAATCCAGCCCCATTTTGAAAGAAATGCTCAGGGTTAGGACTTCACCATGTGGATTTTGGGGGACACAGACCCAGAGCCAGTGTTCAGTACTAGACCCCCAAGCAACCTGACACCCTCTGCTCCTTCTGGAGGGATGGGCCTGTGTGTTTTCCTTTGAGTGTGTGATCATGGGTTCAATATTCTGATTATAAAGTGTAGGTGCATATATGTGTCTCCTTTGCTCTATGGTCAAAGTCATAAAATAATATTCATGTGAGTCTTTCTTATTCCAATCACTTGTAGAATTCAGGGCTTTGGGTATGTTACACTCATCACTCTTAACCTAGAATGGGCATATTAAAGAAAATTGGGAAGTGTTAATAATTCAATTCCCTTTCATTTTGACATAGAATAAAGGCAAAGTGACTTAAAATGGGCAAGCTGAATTTGTAGAGCATGTTTGAAGAATGGTGATGGGCTTCATATGGAAATGTTTGTGCTATGAATTATTCTCCTTTGTGTATGTTTTAATTGATTAACTATTTGATGAACTTACTTCACACTCTTTTTCTTATCTGGCAATCCATGCAAACATCAAAGATAGGAAAAGAAGAGCTGTTTGGCAAGAAAGGCTGGCACTGTGGGAGGGGGTGAGATTTTACTCCTGGCAATATTCAGCAGTTACCCCAAAAATGTTTGTAGCCTTCCTCTGTAGGGACCTTAGCAGGGATGCATGTTGGGGTGCTAGTAGCTGGCCTGAATCCCCCCAAGGGGGGAGATTTGGAGCTCCCTGCAGGGCTGATATGCTATTCCCAGGGTGCTGCTGGTTTACCTATGGGATGCATGTTGAGAGCATTAACATTAAGTAGCACTTAAAGAGGATCAATATGCACTACGCGGTTGTGTCAGTTCCCTGTGGTGAATGTATTTATTGTGTCCCACAAATACTTACTAAACAAGGAGGGGAGTTTGTGTATTCATACAAAATATTATAGAACTCTCATCTCAATAAAAAAAAAACTGCATAATTCAACTGGTTCTCCTTGTATTATCTTACTGTGTAGGAGCTTTCGGTTTGCGGAAACCATGGTATTTCCCTCTGACTGCATCATACTGGAAAAGTGTGTGTGGCCGGGTGGAGAAACAGTGGCATTCTCTAACCCCAGCCTCTGATTTTTCACCAAGGACTTTGGCAACAAAGGTTTGTGAAGGAGTAACACTGTCGAATGCATGTTGTCCCGTCCCCCTGCCCCTGGCAGTTTTCTGTTTCTGTATGAACCTTTCTAACTTGAGACCTGAAGGTCACTTTGAAGTTCTCTCTGTCTCAAAGACAGCTACAAGGTTACCTGTTAAGGCATGGGGTCCCTTGGTTCTGTTCAGTCTGCATCACCCCAGGACCCCTGGAAGGGCTCCTATTATGTATCATTAGGTCATTCTTTGCTAGTTTCTGTGCATTTGTGTACATCTGAGAATTCTGTACAATTGAATAGTTCGAAATAAATATGTACAAAAACAAAAGCAAAGATTGGCAGCTGCCAGGTGGAAGGGACCTGGAGGTGTTTAGTGTTTTCCCACCTGCTGACCTCAGGACAGAGGGATTTCTCTTCCACATACAAATGGGGACATTTTCAGTATGCTTGCAGGCTCCCAGGAGACAAGCATAGGATGCTTCCTGTCCCTCTGCTTGGCACTCAGGGCCAGTCCTGTGGACCAGGCACAGAGGCGCTTTTGCAAAAGGACCACACAGGAAGTCTAGGTGTGAATATTGATGTTCCACCGCGAGCCAGCATGTTCTCAGGACAGCGGCCATGGGCTATGTCAATATTGGAAAGTCAATTTTATTTCTCAGTTAAACAAGTAAAATATGAGCCTTTTAGAAAGCTGACAACACCTCAACCAGTGCCTCTCCACTCCTCCTGCACACAGTGTTTCCTGTGAACATTTTGTGTGTAACGAGCCTGGCTCTTGTTTGGTCTCTGCAGCTACACAAATACCTGGGGGTGCCTTCATTTCTCTGCAGACTGGTTCTCACTTTGTAGGGATTTGAAGTTTTGTCATCTGCGATTTCACATTTGGGTCACTGTAAATCTTCCTTCTTGTGCACCTCGCAGACTGGAATTCAATTGCAAAGAGAGCAACCAGGATAAATTCTCACCTTCCCCCCAGGGTCTTC